GTGGTGGTGGGGGTGGTGGTGGTGTGGGGGGGGGGAGGGGGCGTGACTCGAGGGAGAGAGGGGATGAGACGAGGGGAAGCAGGAGTCGGTGGACGACGATGGGGGAAGGAGAGGGAGGCGGAGAAGTAGGACTCGGGGGGAGAAGAGGAGGAGGGGGGGGAGGAGGAAGAGGGGGGGGGGGGGGGGGCGGGGGGGGAGGAGGAGCGGGAAGAGGAGGATAATGAGGAGCAGGCCACGGTTCAGGAGGAGGCGGGGGAGGATGAGGGAGGAGGAGGAAGAGGAAGAGGGAGGGGGGGGAGGGGGGGGGAAGGGGGGGGATAAGGGCGAGGAGGAGGAGGAGGAGGAGGGAGGGGGGATTACAACAAGGACATGAGCAGTAGTCCCCCTCTCAGCTCCCAGAGACGCGAGATGGGCACTGCGACGCCTCAGCTCCTCGAGAGGCATGTCGGGGAAGCCAGGGTCCACAATTGTTTCCCCCCAGGCGCCATCTGCCCCAGGGCACAGCGCGCGCAGCGCGCAGAAAAAGCAGACACGGACAGCCATACTTGGGGGTGAAGCGGCTGCGAAATGGCGGTGGCGGTGGCAGTGCCGATGTTGCTACCGATGGCGACGACGCCTCCCGACGATGATGCTGGTGGCGGTGATGGCGACGACGATGATGTTAATGGTGGCGATGGCAACGAGATCAGTAGAAGCCCACCGTGACCCCCTGGGGACTACTATATTGCAGGCTGTAAAAGAGCAGGCGCCCGCGCTTGCAGCGGCCCCGGGTTGCCCAGGAAGGCCGCTTGCAGGCTCCAAGAGGGCCTGGGGGCCCAAGAGGGCTTTCTTCTTCTGGATGCTATTATTCCGCCCCAACATCTACACGTGACATTCTAAGAGACCGTTGCCACAGCTTATTAGGGTTCATTCGGCCTCGGATGGAGTTTGATTTGATTTGAGGAAGACCTCGGGTTCAAGGAGAGGGGTCGTGACCCCCCCTCCCCTTCGCGCCCCGAAAGCAGAGGGGTGACAGAGGACAGACAAAGGGAGCACCGCATCAGGCAAGCGTCTCACGCAGGCGAGTCCATCCAGAAGCGATGCTTCGCATGTATTTCCCGTCTCTCCACCGCCCCCCCTCTCGCGTTCGACGCTTCCTTCGTTATCCTCCCTTCCCCTCCGGATTCCTCTCCGCTCGCGCGCCTCCTCATCCTCCTCAGTTGCACGCTTCCTCCAGGCTCTGATACATCCCCTCTCTTCGTTCGAGCCCACCTCGCGTGGGTGATCCGAATTTGACCTCTTGCGAGCCGCCTTCTTCTCATGGCTGGTCGCGCCTGGCACAGCGGGCTTATCAAATGGGGGCCTCAAGGGAGCACCGCTGTCAAGGCCTAAAGAAGACGAGCTGTAACGGCCAGTGCCCGCGACGCGGACCTCGCTGCGCCTCGCACCAAGTGCCCAAAGATCTGGGGCCAGGACTCTTAATAATTGAACAATGAGATCAATGGCCCCCCAACCTCTTCCTTTCCTCCCCCCCCTGGGGCCCCTGAGCCCGGAGTCCCTGTGCCAGGCATAGCCTTGAGCCATTGGGGCCCTTGAGCCCCTGGAACCAGGGCCCCCCCCCCCCCCTCCCCCCCCCATGGGGCCCCGGGGCCCTTGAGCCAGGCGTAGACCTCATCGATCTATTGTTTGAGACCCCAGCCTCGTGGTTCAACCTCTTCCGCTCCGCCCTCGCGTTGTCAGGGGCTCGTTGCGCGGCGATCCGTAGCTCGAGGTCTCTCTGGTCAATTGCGGGATGCCACCCCTCTGGACAACGCGGCCCAGTTGGAGTTGGGGGCGGGACAGGATAGGGCGGTTTTCAGGGGCATCACCGAAGCCACCCCCTTACCCCTTCCCCTAGCTCCAACCTGGCCGCGTCATCCAGCGCCGCCAAGAGGTCGGGATCGAAACCAGACTCGTTCTCCAGAATCGCGCGGTCTGAAGGGTCCATCGTTGCCCGGGTGCCGAAAGCATCTCCGATTTGGCGGGGTGAATGCGGCGGATATTTCCGAGCCTGAAAACCACGGGAGAACAGGCAAGTTAGGAGGGCGGATGAGGGATTACTCCGCCGACGTAGCCGACGATGACGGCGAGGGCGACGGCGAAGACCACGAAAACGACGACGACGTGGCCAGGCTACCCCAGCGAGCCCCGCCAGCCCTCTGGGCGTAGGTGGTTTAGGGGGGTTCCTCTTCCACCCCCTTTGTTTCCCTTCGGGGAGGGGTTCACCCCTCCCCCCTACCCCCCCCCCCTTGGACCTGGACGGGGCCGGTCGCGAGCGGTCAGGGCGCCCATAACGGCGCCGGCGAGGAAACCAACATCATCGGTTTTACTATGGTTTTGGCTCCATTTTGGCCTCTTGAGGGGGGGGGTAATTAACTCCACCCTCTGCTGTGATCGATCGCTTCCAGGATGGCCCCGAAGGGCGCCCGGGAGGCCCCCGGAGGCTTCCAAGAGGCCTCCAAGAGGCCCCAAGAGGCCGCCA